CCCTGATCCTGCACATCAGTACTCGTATCCTCCGTGTCACCGTTGTGCTCGCCTTGCGTCACCTCAGTCGGTATTCTAATGGATACTGCACCATCTGGACAATGTGGAGCTGCATTGATCTCCACCACCTATGATATTTCCTCCGTCGGGTCGTTATCCACCTGATGAGAGCTGGGAAGCTTCAAGATAGAAGCCTCATCGAATGTGACGTCTCTACTCAGCACAATCTTTCTATCAACTGGATCCCATAGCTTGTATCCCTTGACACCACGCTTGAACCCTACAAATATGGTCTTCCTAGCTCGAGGTTCCAATTTATCTGTTCTCACATGATAAAATACAGGGCATCTGAATACCTTGAGCTGGTTATAATCTTGTGTTGGCTCTCCCGACCACATCTCCATATAAGTTTTCCCCTCAATCGCAGATGAAGGCAGCCTATTAATGAGGTGGCTCGCATATGTAAGTGCCTCAGCCTAAAAATTCTTCTCCAAAACACTCTGCGATAATAAACATCGGACCTTCTCCAGCAAAGACCGATTTAGCCTCTCTGCCACCCCATTCTGCTGCAGTGTATGACTAACCGTGAAGTGCCTCTCTATGCCGTCGTCTTGACATAGCTGCAGAAAGGGGTCTGAAGTATATTCACTACCGTTGTCGGATCGCAATGTCTTGATCTTTCTCCTAGTCTACAGTTCTAATCTCTTCTTCCACTCCACAAACAAATCTAGGAATTCATTCTTATGTTTCATGGTGTACACCCAACAACGCCTAGAATAGTCATCACAAACGTGACGAACCAATATCGACCACCAAGTGATGTATTCTTTGTGGGACCCCAAACATTTGTGTGCACGTAGTCCAGGATGCCCCTCGTCCTATGAATGGCTATCCCAAACTTCACCTTCGTCTTTTTGCCAAGAACACAGTGCTCACAGAACTCAATTTTCCCACTCTTAGCTCCCTTCAATAGTCCCTGCTAGCACAGCGCCTGTAGTGACTTCTCACCTGTGTTTCCTAACTTGTAATGCCAAAGTCTACTCATGTCTGCCTCTGAAATAGCTGAAGCAACCTGGCCAATCTCGGTGCTTCCCTTCAGATAGTACAAGTTCCGACTGCGAACTCCCTTCATCACCACTAAAGATCCCTTAGTAACCTTTGCTACAGCGTCCTCCAATGTCACATTGAATCCCTTCGCCTCCAAAGCTCCAACTGAGATAAGATTCTTCTTCAGCTGAGGAACAAATCCTCCAAAGCTCCAACTGAGATAAGATTCTTCTTCAGCTGAGGAACAAATCTCACCTCCTTCAATTCACGGACTACTCCATCGTGCATCCGAATCCGCACGGTACCTATCCCACAAATACCACATGACTGATCATTTCCCATGACAATAACACCCCCATCGAGTCTCTCGAACGATGCAAACCAATCTCGCCTAGGGGTCACATAATAAGTAGCGCCGGAATCAAGCATCCAATCTGATGCATCTGCATGGTTCACCTCCGGAGTAATCAGTGGAGAAAAGCTCAAATCATCGGAATCATCGCCTTTCGTAATATTCACCTCATTGGCCTTCGGGCCCTTTTTCTTGCTATTCTCCTTCTCTTTGATCTTTGGACAATCTCTTTTCCAATGTCCCTGCTCCTTATAAAATGCACATTGGTTCTTTCCTAGGTGGTGACGACCTCTTGACTTTGACTTCCCTTTATTACCACCTTTCGGATATAGGCTTCTACCTCGTCGACAAGGCCTCGCCTGAAGTACTAGCACGTGAAGTCTCCTTATCCTTCCTCCTCAAATTGTAATTCGTCAAAGCATTAGTAACTTCACTGTAGCTGATAGAAGATCTTCCATTCAACAAAGTGAGCACTAAGGTATCATACTCCTGTAAGGAGCCCAATAAGATAATAACATTGTACTCATCCGATATCTTCTCATCAATATTCGCCAAGTCTTACAATAACTTCGTATAGTTGTTCACATGAGCCGCAAGCGAGGTGCCTCTGGACATCTGGAATCTGAATAATCTACGCAGCAAATACAACATGTTCTTAACACTCTTCGTAAGGTACTTATTGTTGAGAATTTCCCACATCTTCATCGCAGACATCATCCCAATCACATCATACTTCAGCTCCTGCTCCAAATAAGACCTGATCAGACCACAAGCGTTCATATTCATCTTTTCTCATATCGCCTCTTAATATTTTGGTGGTCTCTCGTGGACCATGATGATCTCCTCCAAGTTCTGAGCATTGAGCGCATCCTGTACGTCGCTCATCCACAAATCAAAGTTGATTTTACCGTCATACTTCACCACACTAATTTTGGTGTTCTGAAAACCAACTTGAACTGTACCCGTCATCGACTTGCTGCTTTCACCTTCTTCTCCAATTACAAACTAACTTCAAATTGCAAAGAAAGATTCAAACTTTGAAAGAAATTTGAAAGGAATAAGAAATTACCCAACTGAACCCTAGATTGGATTCCAAATAGAACTCCTAACCACACGAGGAAAGCGAGATCTCCAACGACAACATCAAATCCTATCTCCACCGAAGCCTAGAACTCTAAGAACCAAGCTTCACACAAGAATCTTCCTCCACCTAATTCTAAAACCCTAGATCTAAAATTTGGGTTCTGATACCACTTGTTGCGCGCAACAGAAATTTTGGCAGCACCTCGGCAGCACAACAAGAGAGTCAGGTTGCAATAGGAATTTCCGTTTCACCAAGGAAACAAGAACCTTAAGCAAAATATCTCAACCAAGTGAGATATCAGTTCTTCCTCTCATCAGTTCTAGGACTGACCTGTCGAGGGAACCTAAATAAGCTATTACAAATCACACAAATAGCAAGACAACCAATTTTACGTGGTTCAACAAATTGCCTACGTCCACGGGGCAAGGAGGGGAGAGATCTACTATTAGAGGGAGAGAATACAACTAGGATTTACAATCTCACAACCTAAACCCTCAAACAATTTCTCAAATCCCTCACACAAATATCTCTCTCAAAAGGGATGCCGTCAAAACCCGTCGAAAAGCCTCTGCGATTTTCTTCTTCAGCCGACTTTACACCTGCGGTTTTCTCCTCGTTTTGCACCCCTCTGCTGCTCTGATTGTGCTTTTCTCCTGCAGCCGCAAAACAGAACTCCTTACACTCCAAAAACCCTAAAAAAATAAATAAATCATATTTATTGGCTTCGTCTCCGAATCCGGGTGCTGATGATTGTGGCCCCCACACTTCCACGAAACCACGTTCACAAATAACACGTAATAACAAGTTCACAAATGTGGTGGGCCCCCACATCACGTGTTCACAGAATATATATAGGAAAACCAAAACTCTATCTCTAGCCTAACTTTTAGTTAGAATGGGATTCAAACTCCTAATCATGATAGATCTCTAACACTATCTAATTCTTATGAAATTATACAAAGAATCAAAGACAATCCTAACAATTCTGCGTACTTCGTCCTAACAAACTCCACTAACCGTCGACAACATATAGGTTGGATTGGTGTGTGTGTTTCTTTCTTTTTTTATGTTGGTGTGTGTGTGTGGGGGTTGGGGGGGGGTGTTGGTTTCGCATCATGGCATTATGTTGGCATAGGGCATAGCCTGCATGCAGGGCTACAGGACATATTGGTTCTTCCCATTTATACGGTTTCTGAGTTATGTATGGAGGCATTGACATATCTCTTGGTATCGTTTGATTCAGGGATGGTCAACTGCTCTATTTTTCACTTTTCGTTTCCTTTACGTGACACTAATATTGTTTGTGGTAAGACCGTTATCACCCCTAGTGTGCATTCAGCTGCCTGGACACTGATTTTGTGCATCAGGAGTCCAATATTACAGCCTCTTGCCTCTTACAACTCTCATTGCTTATCAAGAGGGAACGTTCTATTTACCAATCTAATCATCCTCCCGTTATTTCTAGAGGGGTAGTCATGTTTGTAGCAATACTTTTGGCAGTGCGCGCACCTTGGCCCCTTTGATGGATCATATATTCAATAGCTCTTCACAGCTTTTTGCTTTGCGTTTCAATTAAGACGTGACTTTGACCCCTAAGGCATCTGTGGCATGCTCCCGTTATGGGAAAAGTGTTCCCCGTTCAATAGGCAACCTAGGCATCATGATATATTCCTCTACGTCGTCATTCCAGTGAATTCAGCGGTGACGTCCTAGCAGTTTCCATACGCTGGTGATTAGTTAGAGTTTTAGGAGCTCATGATGGTCTACCGCTATCGGTAGGCGCAACGCTACTAGTCTAGACATTGGTGCATTGTCAATAGTCTTGCTTTTTTTTAACTAGATGATGCTGACTGTGATGAATGCAGAATTCCTCTACTATATAGTTTTGGGATCATTAGTATTTCACATGTTAGACAGGCTCTTAGAACGAAGATTATAGAATATCTATAAATGACAGTGTGACCCACTGGGCGTGACGAAAAAACGTTGCACCCCCGAGTTAACTTGTGCGATCAAGGAGCGCGACACTTCATGAAGTAAATGACTAGAATGAATATGTGCACTCGATGTCGATCTATATTCGCACGCAAACGCAATCTACTAGCTTTATACCATGACGATCACATGACTCTATCCCGCTTATATATAGACCGCTCTACTATCGACCACCCTCCTCGATCGCTACTTAAACATATATAGGAAGAAATTACATCACGATACATCGGAGATACAATTATCGCTACGCCCACTCATATCCAACGGACGATTCCCTCGGAGCTGATGAGTTTGGAAAGCAGTAAAACAGATAAAATACAATGCCTAAAGAAAACCTGCAAGTAGATCTACAATTAGTTTTCAGTCTTCAACATAAAGATACAAAGTTTTTTCTTCTTCTTTCTTTTCTCTTTTTTTCCTTTGATACGAAGATATGAAGGAAATTATTCGTCTTTTCTTTTATTCATTTATTTCTGAATCATTTGAGTGAAACAATTATTAATCATTTGAGTGAAACAATTATTTATTAGGATTAAACACACTTGTAAACAATCACCAATTTAAGCCAACGTCTTCAATTAACAACAATATTGCACTTCCTCCTAATCTCCCCCTGCCTCCCGGTGAGCACCTCAATCGCCCCCATTTTCACCATTGCCTTCCCGAACTTCTTCCTCCACACCCTCGCTCTCATCGTGTTCTCCACCACCATCCTCCTCGTCAGCTCGCTATCATACAGCGTCTGATCTGACCCGAACAACCCCCGACGATGCTCCAAGTTCACATAGTACGCGTTGTCTAGCCTGTTGGGCGTAATCAAATCCATCGTCACTGTCGGATCACTAGCACCCCCAACGGTCCTCGGACATCTTTGCTTCAAGAACGACGCAAACAGCGGATCCAGTGAAGGGTCCTGCGGGTGCGTCGCGTTGAATCTGTAAAGCCTGTCGGCAAAGGACGAGCAGTGGGAGACGCCGAATGAGTGGGCCCCTGATAGAGTGACCATGTCGTCGAGTGTCAGTCCTTTTCGGGCAAAGTTTTCTTTGAGTTGGTCAGCATTGAAGTTCGGAGGAGGGAGGTTTTGCGGGATGTCGTCAATTAGGGAGATTCTGCCGTCGCGTCGGCCAGAGGGGACGGCGTAATTGATGCCGCCGGCAATCAAGGAGGCGTCACGGGCGGCGAAGGCGAGGATGTCGGCGCAAGAGATGGTAGAGGGGCAGATGGACTCGAGCTTTGCTTTGGCTTCATCGATTACTTCGAAGCCTCGGAGGCTCGGATTGTTTGCCGGAGAGTCCTTTTCGGCCCGGGCGCCTGGGAGGGAGTCGAGAAGGACGGAAGCATCACAACCCTGCATTGCAGTCATAATAACACCAATTGTTAGTGAGGCCGCTAGTCGTATATGAACACTTCAACTATGAATTATTACTAAATCATTACTTATAGTACTCACGCGGACGAAACAATCATGAAAGTGCATTCGGATTAGACCGGCCGCAATGCCGGCGTTTGCAACGATGGCTTCCTCGACGACATCGGCGACAATCTTCTCTGCGTGTGGGCACGTATAAGTGTAGAAGCCCACTTTCAGCAAAGAACTACTGGAAGCTGATGACAACATCAATATTGATATCGTCGCCACCAACACCAAAGGGAGGCACTTTAAACAACTCATGATTCTCGATCGATGGGCACTGAAGTTTGAATGCAGTTGATGGATAGTCTCAGTAGTCGTACGTATTTATAAGACAAACATTTGAGAGATTAACAGCTAGCTATCAGCTTGTAGTAGCTTGAGGCGAAAGCAGAGTTGGTAAGTTAACACAAATATAGCTAGGTGGCTATAATATCTCTCTTCTTATTTTAGCAACGAAAGGAAAGCAAGCTAGTACGTTCACAAGAAGACATACTTGGGCCATTGTGCAGGCACTTTGTGACCCTTGCTTGCTGAGTGAAGCCTTACCCAATATGGGATCCTTCTCATTCTTCAACCACAAGCCTGACCCTTGCTTGCTGAGTGTGAAACCTTACCCAATATGGGATCCTTCTCATTCTTCAACCAGAAGCCACATGGTTTATTAAACGTGTAGTCGGTAGAGTTGCCAATTTACATTGTTGAACGTGTAGTTGCTGACATTTTCCTGGGCTTTAATTGTGCGGCTTGGAACCTTGCTTAGTGCATAAAAGGTTAACATGATTGTAATCTAGCTTCAACATTGCCAGCTTTGTTAATTGACTAGACAGAAACTAGTATGAGGAAGTATTTGTTTATTGAAAACAGTAATTTTTATTGTATGTTCCATTCAACAATAAAAGCGTAGCTTACTCAATAACGTGGAAATTAACTAAATCAAGTTAGAGGGTGTTTGTTTGCATACGAGTGAAAGATGAAAGTGAGAAAGTTATTTTCATTTAACGATTTATGTGTTTGTTTGCATGTAAGTGGTTATGAAAGTGTAATACAAAAAAGTTGCCAGATATAATTTAATGTAATTTTAACTTTCCCTAAAAAATGGTGAAGTCACATGGAAGTGACAAAAAAAGTAACTAATTTAGTTAAATGATTTTAATTATACTTTCTAATTAATCTTATTTTGCCACGTCATCTTCACATTGCACTTTCGATAATAATTTAATTTTTCAAACAAACACTGTATTTCACTTGCGTGCTAACATGAGATGTAAAAGTCATTTGTAAAAAAAGTAACTTACATATTTTAAATTCACTTTCGAATTGCCAAACACCCCCTTGTTTTTCATTTATTTCCTTTTATGATAGGAGAAAGTCTAGCGGCAGTTTTATATCTAGACTGCCGTTAGTCACTCGCTTCACAATTGGCCAGTTGTCCCTTCTCTGAATTTGTTAGGGAATGCAGGCACAAGAAAAGAACGTATAGTAAATTATTTTATTTCATCTGTTTGGGAAAGAATTAAAGAAGAAAGATTAAGGAGAATGGGTAATACAGTAAGTTTGTTTATTAATCTGAAGGGTTAAATTTTTTAATCCGTTAGGTTAGTTTCTTTTAATCTTTTTGCTCATTTTTTGTGTTTGGGAATGAAAAATTATGATCATTTTCTTTATAAAAAGAGGGATTATCTCATAAACCATCTAAATATGTTGATTTGTAAACCCCCTCGTTTCGAGAGTTTAACTCATTTTAACCCTTCTAGCTGGGTTGATAAACCATTGTATTTTTTTGGCAAATTATGAGAAGTGTTGGCCTTTTTGTTTTGATGATGTTTTAATAAACAATTTATAACTAATATTGTTTGTCTAGTGCTTGTGTTTTTGCATTCATTCTAGGCAAACAATGTGTTGGAGGTTGGTTGGATTGCGCCTTCATGATGATATCAAGAGGAGGTTGGCGGAATACCGGAATGAAGCCAATACAATTCAAGTCAAATATTCAAGATCAAGCTTCATCTGCATAGTTTACCAAGATCGAGCGTCACGAAGATCAATCAAGCTTGGGTAATTAGTTTAGGTTTTATACTTTGTGTGTAGATACTCTAAGCTCAAATTTCATACACACACAATTTATTGGTTTATACGTTTTTCGTTTTATCCACAAATAAAGTTTTTACAAACAAATAAATATATGTTTATATACATACATGTTGGTTTTCAATGTGGATAAGTTGTTTAGGTTTAACTATATATATATATATATATGAAATAATATACATCTTCATATACACATTTATATATTTCATATTCTATTGTATTTGCAAAAATATTTTGTTTATGGATTGAAGACTTGTTTACACTATTTTCATATCTTTTATAATGTCTACAAATCCATTCAAAAGTGTTTCAAAGTTGTTTGAACTCGTTTTGTAAAAATTAAGTTTTAACAAGTTAATGTTCGTGCATGTTCGTGCATGTTTTTTACAAAACAGATGAGTTTTCACAAATGAGAAGTGATACTTAAGAAATTCTTTCTCTAACATGTTTATATATATGTTTAGAAACTTCCCTCAAATGTTTATCATTTTTTGAGTTGATTTACCGTTTTCAATTGATTTTACAAAATCGTGTATGTCATCAGATTTCAGAAAACTGTAAATTTGTATTCAAACATTTATTTCTAATAAATAGGAACTGATATTTCAGAAATTCTTCCTCTAACATGTTCATATATATGTTTAGAAACTTCTCCCAAATTTCATAATTTTTAGAATTGATTTACTATTTTTAATTGATTTTACAAAACCAGATACGCAAAAAAATCAGATCTGCCAGGTTTGCTACAGTGCCACGGTCGACCGCTACAGTAGCCGCGGTCGACCACGCAGTGTACTATTGCAATAACGGCTATTTTTACAGATTTTGGATTTTGGTCTTTTTTTTTGGGTTTTGGCCTATTGTTTTGAGCAACTATAAATACTCTTCAACCCTCTACATTCAGATGTACTTAACAAAAGTTTTTAATTAAGTTTTACAAGAGTTTAAGGGTGTTTAAGAGTTTGTTTCAAGTTTGTTTGTGAAGAAGTTTTCACAAGAGGAAGAGGAGACTATTAATTCTTGTTTGGGCTTTAATTTCTCATCTCCAACACTCTTGATTTTCAGAGAAGTTTTCCTAAACTTGATTTCTAGCTTATTACGTATTTATTGTTGATTATCTTTTCTTTAAGCTAGAATTTACATTGAGTTTAGTTTTGTTATTTCTTATTGTTTACACACACAACCATTGAGCTTTAGTATTTTACACATATTGTATAATTGGGTTGTGGGAGTGTGACTTTGAGTGTGAGCTTTAATTGTGTTCTCATCCATATTAGAGAACAAACACTTTATTATTATGCCTAATTTTGTAGATCGCTTTGTAATACACGGAGTTTCCAAGAGGAGTGGCGTTGATAGTAAATCCTAGGGAGATGTTGTAAATCCGAGCACTTGAGGAAGACACGTGATAGAGACCAACACTTAGAGAGTGTAGAGTGGGATTGCAAAAGTGTGAATTGTAAAATTTTCGGTGAGCTAGAAAACCGAGTGTGAGGTGTAAACGTTTTTAAGTGAACGTCGAAAACCTGGTTGTGATAGTGGAGATCTCCTCAAGGTGAGGAACGGAGACGTAGGTCAAGTGGTTGACCGAACTCTGTAATCATATCTCGTATTTGCATTGTTTATTTGCGCACTATCACTCTTATTTATTTAATCTTGTTTATATTTATTTCACCATTGTGTTAATTGCTTATCCTCGCATATATATCTTATTGCATATCATATTTGCTAGGATATTTGTTAATAAGTTTTAATTTGACATAAATCGGATTAGATTAGCACATTACCTTATTCCCCCCCCCCCCCCCCCCCCCCCCCTCCTCTAGGGACTAACACTCAGAAGGGATACATTCTGACAACCTCCTCAACAACTGAGAGTTACAAATTGACGACTCTCACATTTCAAATACAAGGATTACAAGATGATGATTTTTGCAGAGCTTGAAAAAAAGATTACAAGTTGATGATCTCTTCAAAGAAAAACACAAAATTCATCACCGCGTTCCAAGTTCAAAACACGGAGCTCATCACCGCGTTCTAAGTTCATAACGCGAAGCTCATCACCGCGTTCCAAGTTCAAAACGCGAAGCTCAGCTCCGCGTTTCATAAGCTAAATACGAAGGTCGTTTCTAGAACGCGAACCTCGCGTTTGACCCATGAAAATTCCCTAGAGGGAGGTGAATAGGGCAATATGCTAATCTAATCCGATTTTATGCCAAATTAAAACTTACTAACAATTATATCCTAGCAAGTGATGTATACGAGTTATATATGCAAGGATATGAAAACATGAATAAACAATATAGTGGGTGATATAGGCAAAGTGACAATGGCGATATAAGAAAACAACTCAAAAATATGTGCGCCAAAATAAACACAAACAAACGATATGTTCACAAGGTTCGGTCAACCCACGACCTACGTCCCCGCTCCTCACCTCGAGGAGATCTCTACTATATCACCACACACCCGGTTTGGAAGCCAGAACTTCTTCACAATCCTCACAATCGGTTTTCTAGCTCACCGAAAACTTTCTCAATCTCTTAATGTAACCACACTCTACAACCTCAAGTGTTGGCCTCTCACGTGTCGCCTTCCTTAAGTGCTAGAAATTACTATCTCTCATTAGGCATTACCACCTACCCCACTCCTCTTGGAATCGACCACGTCTCTCATCACACACTCCTCTCGGTGTACAAGTGTATTACAATGTGAATCTCATACTTAAGGCTCAAATACAAATATTTGTTCTCTACTATGGATGAGCACACAAAGAAAGCTCACTCTCAATGTTACAAACCCACAACCCCAAATTATACTACGTACGAAATATTATAAGCTCAATGTGGGTGTGTGTAGCAAAGAGACAAAACAAATATAAACTCAATGTAAATCTAGCTAATGAAATTATGATCTAACGTATAAATAGCTAGAATTGAGTTTAAGAAAAACTTCTCTATATAACAAGAGTAGGAGAGATGAAGTTGAAGCTCAAATAAGGAATGAATGATCTCTTCTTGCTCTTGTAAAACTTTCTTCACAAAACAAACTTGTAAACACACTCAAACACACTTTAAACACTTGTAAAACTCTTTCTTTGATCATCTTAGAAGTATGAGGGCATAGGGTATATATAGGATCATGAAACAACCCCAAAAACCAAGATAAAACAAGCAAAAAGATAAAAAAAAAC